ATTGGTTTCAAGACTTGACCAATTACAAGTTATTTTAAGCTTCTCTTCGTTCTCCTTGAATATTAGTTTTCCTACATCAGAAGGAAATAGTTTAGGCACAAAGAAAAACATCAAGCAGCTCCTTATGTAGATATTAGCAAAGTAACATATTAGAATGGAACATCCTTGAGCGATTGAAGTTGTTTTCCTCAGGTACTTCCAGCTCCAAATTTCAGAATGATAAGTCATTTGTGGGCTTCCTTTGCTTGCTTTTGGTCCATAATCAACTTGATTAGTAAAGACTTGAATCATCTGTGCCTTTGAATCCTTAACCTGTTTGTCATTTCCTTTCACAAAGACTAGAGAAAACACATCAAATGTGCGATAGGAATAGTCAATCAACTTCTCAAGGTGATCAAACATGGTTTCTTTTCTTAAGGCATCTAAGGCATATTCTGAATTCTTTTTATGAACTTCAAACAGTTTGTCACAAACCAGAATGTGATTAGAACACCAAAAATCTTTAACCATTACAAACTCTGCCTTAGTTCTAATCAACTCAAATGTGTTGCTAAACAAAGAAACTCTCAAAGACAATTTAAATTCACGAGTTTCATCAAATAGAAAATCTTTTGGCTTAAAGAATTTTTCATGTGTAACTGTTTTAAAAGTTGGAATCATTTTGTCAAAAACAGATTTAGGAACACAAAATTCTCTCACATTTTCTAAACCAAAACGTTTTTCATCTTGAGCAGAAATCATAACAAACAAACTAGGTTCTATCCTAACCAAATCAATTTCCTTACAGTTCCCAATTTTCTTAGCGAGTGGTTCTGGATTAGAACTAATTGATTTCGATTATGGGAAACACCTTTGTGCATATGCTGATGCTTTTTCTTCAAGAACGTGTGAAAAAAAATCAATACTACTCGGTTGCACCGGTTTGAAAAGGATTAGTTTTCCACAAGCTTGACTACTTTCAAGCACAACATCAGATTTTTCAATAGGAAAAACACATTTATCTTTCTTACATTTAGAAGGAAGAGCACACTTAGCTTTCATGGATTTGCGGTAAGATTTAAGAAGCTCAAGTAATTCCTTCTCAATTTGCTCTTTTGTTTTGGTGCTACAGTTAACGATTTCTTTGTTTTGTAGCTTTTCGCGATAGTGACTTGGTTCTCTTGGTTGAGGTGTTACGGTTTCGTAGCAACCCGATTCAATTGTAATGCTCAAGTTTCTCATCGACCATCCTTGTGAAACGGTTTCGATGGATTTCAACATCTTCTTGTTCACCTTTGAATCGGATGTTCCTTCCTTGGAACTCGACATCGTACCTGCGAAATACAAGATCTAACAAGTCAAAAGTTCTTTGAAAATTGAAACGAATCAAACACAAGAAGTTGAACAGTTTTAAACCTGT